ATTATTTAAAGAAAAGAAAATTTGTAAAAATTGTACAAAATCAAACAAGGTCTCTTTACTTTATAGATATACATATCGTAACGAACGACAACGTCCAAGATTTGCATTCCGTCATGGCGGAATGATTATCGGTTAAGACAACTGTCAAATGTTTGTTTCGAACTGTAAGGATCATATTTCAAAATGCAAAGATTTTGGAACAGGTAATAAATAAAATAAATTTCCTTAAATAGTACGGAATATGGTTGTTTCATACGTTATCCGTAAATTGGTAGAAAATTGTGTTTCTTATTCCTTAATCTTATCGTTGTGTTTTGTATGAATTTTTATTGCATTGAAAATCATATATGTAACATGTAAAGTATAGAATGTTTTTACTTTATTTATTTTTTCCATGCTTATCTAATAATTAGACAAAATTTCGTTTACTATTTCATTAAAGTATGTACTCAATTGAAAATTTTAAATATGAATCAAGGGCTGCGATTAGAATTCTTATTTAGGGTGGTAGAGAATGAAGTATTTATTCTATCAATTTATCCATAGCGATGAGCATTATCCGAATATGTGCCACTGTCAGAAAGTTCGATAGCAGAAGGATATTGGGCGGTGTGCAGAGGGCATGCGTTTTCGGATAGTTTGAGACGACCAATCGTTAAAAGTTTTCCATTTTACTGAATTACAGTTTGAACGATTCTTTTCGGTTGGGTTCGGCGGGGAAAACGAAATTTCTCAAGCTTAACATCGAAGCACAAGAGCCCAGTCTGGTTTAAGTCCCACCGGAACAATTTATCTGGTTATTTCGCAGGTGAAACGATAGGAAACAATTTATCTTAAATTTATCTGCGTAAAAGTGGCTACGAACATATCTACCACACATTCTTCACGTATAGGAAAAGGGGCTGCAGATAAATCGTTTTTTTTTCTAAAATTATTATTATGATATTATTTTTGTAATTGGTTTTGCAAAATTTATTTTATGTATCGTAAATATGTTCTTAGAAACAAAAGTTGTTTCAATTGCATTACAATTTACAAATGTATGGATTATTTTGTTGACATGTAATTAATTATAGCCAATTAAATAGTAACAGCATATTTGATTATTATTATTCCAATATATTAGAAGAATATTTTTCATCTGCACTGCTCAAGCATTTGCCCCTGAAAGTATGTTACACGTGTAACCAATAGCATACGTACTCTCAGAATATTGATGGAATTTATGTTTAACAATGATTACGCGAAAGAAGTGATATGTTAAAAAATTAGAAGTGGTAAAAAATGTATTTATTTTTTATTCCCTGTAGATTCTTTGTAAATTAAGTAGTATACATTAATTGATATTGAACATTATGCTCTAGCTGATCTTTCTCGCAAGTGCTGCTTGGTGAGTTTTCACAGTATATATATGAGCGCCACATTTTCCGAATATCAATTAGGAGGTGAGGAAAGATTTTGCAGGATTCACTGTGACTGCAAGCTATATAAGCTATTTGGGACGTAATTCTGATCCTAATGTATCGTTAACGTTTTATAATTTATTTTGTTCGATATAAGAACATTATATTATATTCTCCCTTGTAAATATAAGATATAAAAAAATTTTTAAATTAGTATATTTTAATATTATACCATTGCTTATCCATATTACTCACATATTTATCCACATTACTTGTACTTGTTGTTTCGATCGATAATGCGGCATGTAATCTCAAAACGTTTGGAAATTAAGTTTCTAAATATTATAATCGGCTTTTTGATTTAAAATAGATTTTATTTAATGTGAACGAGAGTGGAGTAAAAAAGAGAGGACTAGTTAGCAAGCTATATGATATTCTCTTTGCTCTAAAAGAATATATCAATCTATAACCAATTATTTATTTTGATTTTGTATTTGCCTGCAAATATTAATTATTAAAATTTGATGCATAGACCCCTCCCCCCCCCTTCCGGGTGATAAAGCCATAAAGAAAAGGAAGGACGGAAATTATAATTCAATTTCTTTATATAAGCCTGATCGTTCTAACGTTTTTAACCCTTATGTCAATACCTAGAATCTTTCGAGCTGTTTCATACCCTGAGTTGTCTAGTATGCAGACCTAGATTCGGTTTCCTGCCGACCTATATCATAAAGCGATAGTCACACAAAGGTTTTAGGTTATTCAAACAATAAAAAAAAATGGAATAGTAGTCACGAGATGAATACGCGAGGTAATTATCTATACAATTTCAATAATAGAATTGTTACAGTTCTTGATGCCATAAGTTCCGATTAAGTAGATATAAAATAATATTTTTACAGATTGAGTGTTTTCAAAAGAGCAGTTTATTTGCGAGAATTTTTCGTCGAAAAAACATTAATTACATCAATGATGTAAATATGAGATATGTAATATGAAAAAAATACATCAATGAATTGAATAAAATTTTTCATATTTTTCATATTTTTCATATTTTTCATATTTTTCATATTTGAATAAAATTTCGTCTCAGACATTTTCTTTGACAGTGAAGTAGAAAATTCGATGTTCTTACGAGATAAGCAAAGAGAATATTCCGATGAAGATTGTGATGGTAATATTGATGTATTTTATGTTTTATGTTATCGAGAACGAATAATTTAATTTTTTGCTTTCATAGTATTATATTGTTAATAAAAAGATGACGATCCAGTGGCAGATTCAGACGAAATTGACGCAGATCGAAGTCTGGATGAAACACAAAATAACGAGGAAGCGTAGACAGAGGTTGATACAAATAAATCATCTGTCTCTACTCAGGATCATTTTCGGTCTAAAAATGGGACAATATGAAGTAAAGTACCACCTACTCAACATCAAGCTCCATTCGGTAATATTGTTAGACATCGAAGTGGCCCACACAGATCTACATCAACACTATCGACATGTGATATATTCAAATGTGTTTTTACTTCGGAAATGGTTGACGTTATCGTCTGTCATACAAATAGAAAGGCCAGGAGTGTTTACCAAAAACACTATGAAGAAAACCCTAGTCTCTTGGAAAGATCTAATTGCAAGTGATTTTTATACGTTCCTTGGAGTTTTGATTACATCCGGAGCAAACAATTCAAATACGTTATGTGGAAATATACTTGCTATCCATTGTATCGAGCGATAATAGGAGTAAACACATTTTCGACATTCTCAGATTTTTACGCTTTGACGATGCAAACACGAGAACGTAGCGTTCACAAGACGACATAAACGAGATATGGACGATACTGAACTCCAATCTCATGAAAATGTATAGACCCACAGGAAACCTAACGATCGATAAACAATTATTCCCTTAGGAAGAAAACGATTTACGCAATACATTCCATCGAAGCCTGCTAAATACAGGATAAAAGTGTGATGGATCTACGACGCAGAAAATTATGACCTACTTGCTGGTAAAATTTACACCGAAAATCAGCATCGAAACGAGAAACCAGCCAAGAAGAACGAGTAGCAAAATGTTAAGCCGCTCCATTTAAGGGATCTGGGCGTAATATTGCCATGGACAAGTTCTTTGTAAGTTTACCTTTAACAGAGACTCTTTTATGCTGGAGTTTGACCATCGTTGGGACGATGAAACGAAATAAAAAATATATTCCTCGAGAAATTACGATGATAAAATCTCGAGAAATATTTACATCGTTGTTTGGTTATAATGAAAACATAACAATATGCTAATATGTGCTCCAAAGGGAAAAACAGTCTTATTGTTATCGTTAATGCACTATGATAATGTAACGTCGGAATCCAAGAACAAACCAGACATGATTCATTTTTAAAGTAAAAGTAAATCTGATGTTGATATTATGGACAAGTTGATTCGACGATATAGTATAAAAAGGCGGACGAACAGGTGGCCATTTGCTTTTTTCTTCAATATCGTCGACATTGCAGCTCTTGCAGCATATATTATTTATTAGGAAAATAGTTACATGCTAAATAAGAATACAAATCACCGTCGAATACTTTTTAGACAATTGGGAGAAGAACTGAATCTGCCGGTAATTCAGGCTCGATCCCTAAATCCACAGGTCACAAGGAATTTATCTACTAAATTAGTAATCAAAAGAGTCTTGAATACACTTATCATTATAGCTGACAGTAACTCTACTTCGGCATTAACTCCATCAACTTAACGCGATGCAAGTGGACAGAAAGTAGTCGTCGATTCTTGCCACATTTGTTATGCAGTTCCCCAAAAGAAGTTCCCCAAACTCGAAAATCATGCAAGAAACCTATATGTATGTGACGAACATTCAAAAACATTTACAGTATGTAAGAGTTGTCTGGTAGCATAATAACATTGATTAAAATAAGTTATCACTATTTATAAATATGTATATTAATATATTTATATTAAAATTATGGTTCAACGTATGTATTTATTTTTTGTTTTTTAAGCCTTTATTAGATAAAATATTCTTTTATTTTCATATCTCTAATGAAAAACATGTATGTATAGGTGCTCGGATACCCCGGCTTTTAAATAGATAACTAATCATGTTGATTTTCATTTTAAGTAACTTTTTATTCTACAAATAAAAAAAAAGACGTCAATCGTCTCAAAATCGCTCAAATTGTTAAAATGTGACAGGCAAAATGATTCGTTTTTTCTAAATTTTTTTCAATGCAATATTCAAAAAAGGGTTCTCGGGTATTAATATAAAGGCTAAATGCTCCATAGCGCTATAGGTGTATTGGAAAATGAGTCGAGAGTGCAGAGAGGACCATTATTTCTCAGTTTATTGAATGCAATTGATCGAGACACCATGACGCTTTCAGCACATGTTCAAACACACCTATAGAGTTTTTCGGCGTGGTTGATAATGTTACTACGAACAAGCCTTATGGATAATTTCTTTCTTTATAAAATATTTTACTCGGAATGTGTTGGAGCGCTGGTGTCACTGCGGCTGACACGAGAAGCCACAAACGCCAGTGCTGCCCATCAATAGCTGTGCCAGTCGGTATAAGTACGTTTAGAATAGACAAATCCCGTTAGTTTCCGTGTTGTACTTTAGTTCCAAGTTTTAAGCAAAAATCAGAAATGTCCGCTTTGCGCTAAGTGCGGATAAACAACATACAAGAAATATCATGGAAGTAACCCGTACGAGTGAGTAATCGGTCCAAATGGACGCCGATAGTACCCTTTTGTTAACACGCGATTGATCAAAGTCAATTGATCGGTTTTCTCAGCGAACTACGACGAAACAAGCCATCTTAACGTCATGGCCTATTTCTAGGTTAGAAACTGGGCCACATGTCAAAATAGATAGTGTCAACATGATTCGTTCTTCATGTAAATCATAATTGATGACATGAATAAGTCTCTCAAAGAAAATCTTTCGTCGTTGAGAAACTACGTAGACAGTTACCGAATCTAATACATTTTTGAATCTGTTTCATTCTTATTTACACTTTTTAGTAGGTCATCGTGCGTAAAAGGCTGCTCCGAATATTGTACTATCTATTCTGTTTTCACTGTCCCACTGTGTTGTTTACGCAATGTTATTTAATTGATAAAAAATCTCAACCATGTCATTGAATGCTTTATTAATATTCCATTAATCGTTATGTACAGCAATATCTCTACGTTTCACAACTTTTAATTCAATAATATTTATTTTTAATAATTTAATTTTGATGGTACTTTCTGAATATTTTCATATTAAAACACTGAACATATGTAAGCACGCAAGTAGACTTATGTGTGCGTTTTAGCATGCAGCTATATAACTATATAAAATTTGTAAATATTTCTATTTTATAGACTTCAAAGAAGTGCTGAAGGAACTGGATGATGTTCTGGAGAGAGCAGACTTCCTGGGAATTGATGGCGAATTTACTGGACTGAATTCAGGACCTGAAACTAATGCGTTTGACACACCTGCTCAATACTATTCAAAACTCCGATCTGGTTCGATGGAGTTTCTCCTTATTCAGTTTGGCCTTTCCATTTTTTCATATAATTCAGAAACCAATAGGTATGCGATTAAATTTTATATATGTATAGTTTGATTCATGAGTTTAATGTGTTTTTTGACAGTTTGCAAACAATGCAGTCCTTGGTAAATTACACACAATTTTCCATAAAATAACATAAATATATGCTAAAATAGAAAAATAAAATATGTTTAATGCAGAATCTTGCATATGAGTACTTTGTAATAAAAATTGGATGTAGGGACACATGTGTCTTGCTAAATTTCATTGTTTTTGTTCTGTCAAAAAAATACGAACTCATGGACCGGCTATATTTCTTACCAGACTAACTTGATGTATTGTTATACTAAAAACAAAATTGTTGTTTCAGTTACACTCAACAATCGTATAATTTTTATGTATTTCCACGACCGTTAAATCGTGCAGCTCCGGACTGTCGATTCATGTGTCAGGCATCTTGTATATCATTTTTAGCAAACCAAGGATTCGACTTCAATAAACTTTTCAAGCTAGGTATTCCTTATCTAACTAGTGACGAGGAAGAAAAATTGAGTAAACGAGTAGAAGAAAGGCAACGTGCTAGGGAAGAGGGTTTAGAGTTAATTCCAATCTCGGATGAGGACAAACCGCAAATAGAAGACATTTGGTAAGAAGATTTTATTATTATTGAGTTGTACTATTCTTAACCCCTTGCCTATCGGAGTTAAAATTGACTATGTGGGCATAAACTGCATAAAGAAAACTGAGAGACGGATTTTCTCTTTTATGATAGATATTATTAATGTCTTTGGCATCATAGAATTTGAATTTGGCATGCAAATTCAAAAATTGAAAATTGCGGATCCATGATCTGTTTTCAAAGTTCTGTCGTTCGGAAATAAAATAACACACTTGAAAACTTTTTCGAATGTTTAGCTTTTTATGTCACTATATTGGATGCTCCATTTAAAATTTTGAAGTTTCGTTGTCAAATTCCGATTCAGCGACATCAGAAACCTTATAGTAATATCTATCTTGTTTAAATTATATCATGTTTTCGTATTTGTTTACTTTTATGTTCACTATATTAGATGGGCCATGTTAATTTTTGAAATTTCGATTTTAAATTTGGATTCTGTGATTCTAAAAGCATTAATGTTTAAATTTATAAAAAGGTTCCTTAAACTTTCTTCAATGAAGGAATTGAGCAATTTGATTTCGATTATACAAAACTGTTTTCCGCTTTTTTTTTTGACGAATAAAGATCATTATATTTATATCTTATTTTGTTTTGAATAATTATTACAATCTCGTTGTGTTATATTATTAGTTCCAGAATAGATGAGTTTATTGATTCAGAAGCAGAAGAATTGACGATCGACAGATGCAACGCTTTTATTAGACGACTTGTTCATCAGGAAGCAAGGATGAGGTGGCCCAATAAAATCAGATTAGAAAGTAAGACAGAAGGTGGAGGCCAGTGTTTGGTTGTTCAAAAAATAGGAACAAAAGAGGAAGAAAAACAAAGAGAAGTAGAAAGACGAGAAAAGGAAAAGAGTGAAGTACAAGAAGCAGTTGGGCTTAGCGCATTATTAAGAAAAATCGCTGACTCGGTTAGTTAACATTTTTATTTTCTTATTACTCATTATTTTCTTATGAATTATAAACTTTATTTGCCTGATTTTACTGTCCGTAGTCACGAATCAGATATTAACTTACATTCTATCTCCCAGTCTTGAAACACATTGTACGTATGGGTTTCAGGGTAAATTATTAGTGGGGCATAACATGTTATTGGACCTCTGTCATATAGTTCATCAATTTTTCGCACCTCTACCCGAGAGCTATTCGGAATTTAAAGCTCTAATTCACTGCCTATTTCCAAGGTAATTTGAAGTATAATATTCTAGGAAGTAAAATATGTATATGTGTATATAGCCACTAGTTTCATTCGTATAATCACATGAAAATCTTTAATTTTTGTTTCTAGGATATTAGACACAAAAGTTATTTGTCAATCTCCGCAGTTTCGAGAGTCTGTGCTCTCATCTAATTTAAATATTCTTTTGGAGACAGTGAGCAAAGCCCCGTTTTCACTCCCGGAAGTGAATTCTGTGGAGAATCGGAGTTACTCTGTGTCGGCAATGAAGTCTCACGAAGCTGGTTATGATGCTTATATTACTGGATTGTGTTTTATATCACTTTGCAAATATCTTGGTGAGCGCAAGAAATGTTTTCATATAGAATATATCTAAATGAATTAAATAGATCTTTATTATAAAAAATGATTTTCAAGGTTCCTTACAGAAGCCTGAAGTATCGACGGTACTTACAGACTCCTCTTTACTAAATCCTTTCTTGAATAAGTAAGTTATACGCATTACTTTCTCGTACATTGCCTTACTTATGATTCATGTTCCACTTAATTCTAAAACGATATCCTGATTTTGTTTTAGACTCCTTATAACAAGACTTAAAGATGTTCCATATATAGACTTAACGGGGAAGGATCGTAAGTAATATATATCTTCATTGTAATTTAACGATTCTTTTTCTTTGATATTGAATTTACATTAATATTCATATTATTTAACCTTTGTATCACTTATTTTTCAGCAAATCCAAGCCGGGATCATGTCTTCCATATAACATTTCCGAAAAAATGGAGGTTTAGTGACGTATCTCAATTATTTAATCCATATGGTGAGCTTTCATTTTCATACAATGTCTCTTCAAATTGTAAATGACTACTCCATTGAACGCTCCTTTTGCACAATATTTCAAGCATTTTGTGTAAATCGATGTTCAATTCTTCTCGCGTTCTATCTAGATGGAATGTGGCAAGTCATGTTTCTATTGTTCTCAGGTGGCGTAAGCGTGTCCTGGTTGTCGGACACGACAGCCTACGTTGGGTTGAATCGGCGCGATCAAAGCGGCTCAGTGTTAAAACAACTAAGTAAGGTTGGAAATTTCAAAATACAAAAATATGCGGAACACCAAGCATCCTTGGATACGTCAAATCAATTAACCCACGGTGAGCGGAAACGGAAGCTGTCAGCATCGGAGTGAGTAAAATTCAAAGCATCAAGTAGATGGGAGCATATTAATACACAATAGTCATACCATAGTTAATTGTAACAACTAATATGATTATCTCGTTACTTTCTTGGGGACGATTGAAATTTAGTCAAAGCCAAACATTTCACCAATACCATAGTTATGTGAAAAATAACATAACATTAACTTGTGCACGATTCGCTGTATAACGTAAACATTGATAGCTAAATGGAATTGTAGTGCATACCATTGATATCTCCTGCCAGTATCGGAACTGTCTAATTTTAATTAAAGAAAAGATATTAAAAGGTGCATCGCGCTCCTCGAAGTTCGTTGGACTGCGATTGGTTGGTGTGCGAGACTACAAGAACGTTCCGATGTTGCATTACACTCAGCCGAACCTACAGCGGGATGTGCGGATTATGTGAAACGCAAATTGCTATCGGCTCCGGATAAATTGCAATATAATTTGTGGTCTATACGCGGTCGCGATCTGCCCGATGCACTCTAGGATTTCCTGTACACGAATAATCTACATAGAGCCGTATACTACGCCCTGAATTAATGTACGAGACGCGTCGTTACATATGTTTTTATGCAAAATACCTCCCGCTCGTGTCACGGGAATTCTGATCATCTACACTTTAAATCATGCTCTCTTAGGACGAACAGTGCATAAATTGTACGTGGACTTTGTCTTGTTTTTCGATTAAATTCTAGTGAGCTTTGAAGTAATGATAATAAAAATTTAATAAGCTTAACCTCTTATCAAAATACGGTAGGCTATCGTGGCTAAGAAAAGTAATAGACTGGAGGCTACCACGAGCATTAGTTGATTATTTCGAACTTCTTGATGTGTATTAGTTAGATTCTTTAATGTATAGGTGCACCCAATCGCCGTCATTACGATGCACGCAAGGCGGGCTTCCCATAGGGGGATAAAACCAACAGTGGGTATTAGAACTCGATTAGAATAATTATAATAATACAACACGCTTCGGATAACGTACCGTGCTATAGAACGCAACGCGTCTTTGCCGCTTTCCAGAACTTAAGATTCTGCGCCGGGAATGCAAATGCACAAGTCTGACTTATTCGATTCTCCACGCGCAGCGATAGCGGATAAAGATTATTAAAATGCGTAATTAGTCACGATAAATTCATGAGATTGTTAGGTGGATTTCTCGACGTCAAGCGCTCATTCGCATTAGGTAAAGTGGACGGAAGTGAAGCTTTCGTCTTTTTCTTATTCTCCATATGCGGATGTATATATCTCCGAATAGAAACATGCATTCAAAACTTTACTTTGCTACGTCGCGTTACCCTGAACCAACTCTAAAAAGAACTTAGAGAATTCAGGATGTATCTTACCGTCTTAACTAAGCCGTTAATACGATTACTGAATAACGACCAATTGTACTGATTTATTTGCGTAATTGGACAGCAACATTTAAGAATCGTAATTAGTAATTACGTTTCATTTATGTAATACATCCAAAGATGAATTTCATAAACTGTCTGAAATTTCTGCATATACTGGATTGTAGTGCAATTTAACTTCGGGGGTTATCACGCAAACGGCTCAATCAGAGTTGAACTTGACGATGCACAGATACAGTACATTCCTCAGTAGCAAGTTTCATTCGCAATCACCTCGAAGTGATACTTAATCCTTTTGCTCTCACGATTGATTCGACTTTTCCCAATTTCCGAGGCGCCCAAACGTCAAAGCGAAATATAATTCTATGCAAATAGGAGTGTTGTGCGCGCGCGGGTGTAGTGGGCACACTCGCGTCTCGGCATCCTGGCATCCTGGCACGGTGGAATGGTGGCATGCTGGCCGATGTTTATTCGTGTCTTTATTTGGAGTTTGGAATACGGGTCTTAGATGGACTATATGCATAGGAGACTATATGTATACGAGACCATGCTTCATCCTGAATCTGAACATCTGGTGGCTTTCAACCTTTTTCAAAGCAGCTATAGTGTGCCAGGTGCGAGGGTGGGAAAATGGCGACATTATCCCACACCGAATGACTCGCGTTGTGCAGTAAAATTCAGGCTGTCGGAATATTACAGTTGGTTGTGCGTGAACCTCCTTTAACGTGGCTGAGCGTTCAACACTATAACATTGCGATCTTTGCATTACGGGGTTCTCCACTTTTGTCGACACCCCCGCGAATGTGTTTCTGCAAAGTGTCGTGTGTATAGCCAGACAGAGCCACATGCACCGCCGGAATATATTACCTCGTGGCACCGATACATCACTGCGCAACGCCTTTACCTCGCGGTGCTTCTGTTAGCTCAATTCTTATTTCGAGTTTGGTCGTGGGTCTTACATTAAAAAAAAAAAAAAAAACATACTGGTTTCTATATCATTTTTTACACGTATTATTACAACTTAATAATTAGACAGCTGTAGAAATTTTTGAACCAGGAAATAATTTGGGTCGTTTTTCGTATAGTTGAAAATTACCAGCTTTTGACAGTCCTTCGCTGCGAATTCTAACTGCAGACGAATTTGGAGAATTATAAAAATACGTACTTCGCTATATTGTTACAGAGTTCAAGTATTCCTGAACAACATTCTTGATCATCAAGTATTTTTAACTGTCTACTATGCTGTGTACTATTCTGACTGAATATTTCGACTGTCGTTATTTCTACTTGAATTATTCTGACCGTCATTTTCGGTTTCCTCGTACTGTAAATCACCGTTCTGTGTCCAAATATCTTTGCCGTCTGAGTTGTTCGAACCATTGATCCCGATTTATAAACATAATATTTCAGATGGTAACTCTTTTGGACTTATATAAATTTTGTGACTGTTAAAATGTTTCCGTTAATTAATTATTTTCCGTATGTATACGTATTCTTGTACTACGTATGTATGTCGTCTTGATATTTAGGTATGCCAGATCATCGTGTTTCCCGATCGTTGGTCCCTATGCTTATATGTATATCCTTGACCATCTGTACCAATTTATAGGTATCATTCAATTGTTATTATTGTTACGTTAGTATTCATAATGATCCTAGCCATCGTAGCTTTTGCTTAAATATTTCGCTTTATTTTAATATAATTCAGATAATCGTTTTATATGTTCGCAATTTTTTAGTACGGCCGCATGGCAATGTACTCTGCAATTCGTATCGAAGAAAAAGAATGTATGCAATGTATTACTGTATCAGGATTGATGTAAAATTTGCAGACGTCAAATATTTTTGCTTGCAAAATGATGCATGTATAAATATTCAAAAAAAAATTTTTCATATTTGAATAAAATTTTTTGGATTAACTGATTAACCGACAGGGCTGAGCAAAACTTACACTTCGAATATATGTAGATTGAACAGTAATATATGCCGATATCCAGCATCTCCTATTCAAAAAAGTTTACGTTCACGAAATTAGCCTTTTCTTGCGACGTTGAACGCATGAAATGCGACTATATGATTCAAAAATCGCCGAGCGCAAGGTAAACCTGTTTGTTCTTATATTCCAACTGTTTGGAGTATATCGTTCTTTATCTTCAAATAGGCCAGATGATCTTTTCCAATGTCTCAGATATTCTACATCGTCGTTTCTGATGCCAAATTACTTCAAATCAACGTTTTCTCTGGTTATATACTCTTTTTGAAGATTATCAAAGTTTATCGCCAATACAGAGGGTCAAATAGGTACTCCTGACCATTGTCTCTAGCAAAGTATCTTTAATACTCAAAGACACGACGAGCACCGTAAAAGTCACAGATGTAATAAAAAAAAGTCTTTCTGTTTACGCGTTCGGCCTTGAGTTCCTTCTTGTCGAGGAAATATATTCCGTTCGAATGGTAAAGGTTTTATCCCGTCCGGATACAAAGTGGCCGAATGGCAGGGGTTGGAGTGAAAAAGTGCATTTTAGAACTTTTTGAAAAATTCGAGATCTAGTAGTTCCGGCAGGAAATTTATATTTCTGATCAGGGCACAAGAGAGAGCATCCTTCGGCATTAAAAAAACACACCCATTGAACCCTTGTAGGATCACTCGAGGGGGAGTTACATCGCCTTGAAGTGAAAACACTTGAATGGCCATAACTTCCGAACGCGCCGGCCAATCTGGTCCAGTTTCTGTGTGATATCATCTTTAATGATACTGCAGATTCTCACAAAATTATTGTTCTCGGAGATGATCCCGTGACGGAGATCTCGAGATTTCGCAAGCGCACCCGCAGCTTCCCCGCCATTTTTCATTAGGAAAGCGATGAAATAGAAGTTTCATTTTTATCCACGTTGTAGCTGAGATTTCAACGATTGAAACGCGCTTTCAAAGATCCAAATTCCATCCATTAACATCCATTCCGCGGTCGAGGTCTGTCTTTTTCAAAGCATCATTTTTCTGTGACTATTAATGACATAACATTTTTAAGATAATTATTTTTCCATTTACGAATAGGTCAATTACATTAATTACAAAATTTCGAATAATTATATTCTGTATTCGTTGAATTATATATCATTAAAAATACTTTACTTTTACGTGCGTATTACGGGAATAATTCCTTAAAATAAAAGTTAATCGTGAGAAGAAAATGTTGGAGTAAGGAAGATGTTTTCAGGGATAAAAAGAGATCGGAAGCGAGATCGCGAGAGGAGATCGGAAAACTTTTTTATTATACTTTATTCATAAAGTTTAGAGAACTAATTCTCCTGGATACGTTAGATTTTAAGAAAGTTTACAAAATTATGTAAAAATAAGCTTTTTTTTCAATTCTTGTTATACCACTGAATTTCATAGCCACGATACAGATCTAACATAATAATCTGTATGCAGGATAGGTTCTTAGTGATTTTCAGTTTTTTTTGTCTCAAGCGACATTCGTTATCTGTTGATGCCGTGCTGAGAAATAACTACGATTTGCGGGTATCCCAATATTTCACTCAAAAGAGTTAACAATATCGTCCATCAAGATGGACACATCCAAGTCTTGCCAACCCTAATGAAATTGAACATGTGCTTTTTTTTAAA